TACGTGACTTTCTTCCAATTATGAACTATTAATAATCACTAAACTGAGAACCCTTCAATAGTAAGATCCTTGGAAAAGGAAATGACCACTTAAATTTGAAAAACTAAGATTCCTATTAAACATTGGATATTCAATGGATAAATATAAATATTTGTTTAGTGTTTATTGAAAGTGTTATCTAATCAATGAATTCATAAAGTCTAATATGCATGGAGATCCTTTGGAGTTATTGTATTTTTAATGGACAAACTCATAACTTGAATAATTAAAGTATGGACAAACTTGTCTAATGTGTGTGGTTGAACTCTTATAATTAGTGTATGAACAAAGTCATTCTTTGTGTATTCCTAAACTCGTCTAATCAATATATGTGTTACTAATCTAATAACTTTTTCTTATGTAATCATTATATAAACAAACTTACCAATCTATATTATTAAACTTGTATATTTAGTGTATGGACAAACCCTAATCTAATAATTTTTTCTTATGTAATCATTGTATAAACAAACTTACCAATCTATATTATTAAACTTGTATATTTAGTGTACGGACAAACCCTAATCTAATAATTTTTATATAAACAAACTTACCCATCTATATTATTAAACTTGTATATTTAGTGTACGGACAAACCCGTCTAATGTGTATTGCAACAATCTTAATCAATGAATAAATATAATCATCTTATGTGTATTGTTGGACTTATTTAATCACTATATTGACAAAGTCATCTAATAAATATTATTAGTCTCATATAATTAATGTATGGACAAAATTGTATAACGTGTATTAAAAGACCCATTTAATCGGTTAATAGTAAACTTTTGTAATGTTTATTAATAAACTAGTATAATTTATGTATGGACAAACTCATCTAATATATATTGTTAGACTCATCTAATACACATCGTTAAACTTGTTTACTCATATGTATGAACATACTCGTCTAATAAATATTACTAGACTCATCTAATCAGTGTTTGAATAAAGTTATATAATATGTATTATAAGACTCGTGTGGTTAGTGAATAAATAAACTCAAATAATGTGTATTAAGAGACTCATCTAATTTATCAATAATTTTTATTTTTTATAATTTTTTAAATTAAACTACTATTTCACTAAATTCTTTTACAATAATTTTTCGAGGATATATAGTTTTTACATAATAAAATATACATTAATTATTAGAAATCATTTTTTTTATAAATTAAATAATATAAAAAATAAACATAGTCTAATAAATATTAAAAGTGTTATATTGATTCAATGTATTTTTAATATTAAAATAAATAATAATAAACAAAAATAAAACTAAAAAATATTAAAGTATAAAAAATCAATAAAAAATATAAATACAAATAAAATATTTGATAATTATTGAAAATAAACGTTTTATAAATTAAACTGTATAAAAATTAAAGATAATTCAATAAATATTAAAAGCCTTAAAAAAATTGGAAACTTATAAAAGGAGAAACATACTAAACTCTCAAGCTCTAAAAGACAATATTCCAAAGAGAGTTTACATCAACCTAGACCATACCATAAGCAAAAGTCCAACGATGAAGTTTCATCTCAACGCTTAGTATCATAAAAAAAATATTTATTGAAAAATGCTACCTCAATGGTAGATGTTACCAATAAGGAGCATTGATGCCTTAAGTAATTTTGATGATGATACACTTGAAAGACTTGAAGAATCTATATTGTAAATGTTAAAAGCATATAAATTAGAAATCATCCTATAGGAATCATGTTGCATTTGTAAAGCACTTAAAAGTTTCATTTACTAGTAATTCTTTACGACAATAATCTATTATCATAGGGGATAATTGATTATCATTGTTAGTTTTGATATTGTCAAGGGTTCGACAATAATCGATTATCACTGAGGATAATCAATTATCACGTTTTCTAAAACCCTATAACTACCTGAAATAATCGATTATTACTTATGGTAATCGATTATCATTGGCAGTTGGGAACAAACTTTTCATTTTTTGACCCATGGCCTATATGTACAACTCTTCTAAACCTTTAAGAGGTTACCTAAACTACTTGAGAGCATATATCAGTTCTCAGGAGGTTCGTTGAGTTTAAGTGTGAGTTCAATCAAGTCTTCTGAAAATGAGAAGATTGTGTTTAGTCCGACGCTTAAGTCAGGCGTGAGTTCTAGAGCCTCAGCTCTCAAGAAAGCCATTTTATTATCACTATAGAATATTATCTTGTGTCCGTAAGTGGAATGTACCTGGCCTTTGGCCCTATCATTGTATTTATAAGTGTTTCATAAGCCAAATAAAAACATCCTTACCTGGAAATCTGGTTAGTTACTCGTAAATATCTTAACCTCTTAAAATATCTTTAATCAGATATTTTATCCAATAAATATCTTCAATCATACTATACAATTGTAATATGAAACTGAGTTATAGTGAAAAAGTTAATTACTCTTTATACTGATTAATGACTTGAGGTATAATCTATTGATTTGAACCAGGATAAAAATCCTTTTGTGTGATTTTCTCTATCCTTATACTTTTTGCTTACAAACTGTTTGATAAAATTACTGAAAGAAAATCATAATTTTTAAAAGAACCAATTCACCTCTCTCCTCTTGGTTATTGACCGTTTTCACGCTCTCTAAACGTTTAGAGGTAAGTGAGGGTGGATTTGAAAGTAAAGTTTTTTAATATGTCACATAAATCAAATCCTACATTAATTTTCACAAACGTTCCAAATTCACTCCACTTACCTCCAAATTCATTCAAATAAACAACAACAAAATTTATCTTCAAATCCACTCAATCACTCTCTCCCAAATTCATTCAAGTGAACAAAGGGTAAATGCTCAACTTTAGAAAACAACAATTATTTTCCAACTCTTCAAATCCTCTCCTTAATTTGTTTTCACCCTTTGAAAACCACCTAGATCATGCTCCTATATTTCCTCACTTTAGAGTAACATATTTTTAAATTAAAAACTAATGTGGATTCTATTTCCTTCTCTTCTCACGTTTAAATCTCTTTATTTTTTACTTTATATTATTTAGAATGCATGTTTTTTCTTCTTATACCTCCATTTCTAATTTCTAGACCTAAATTGATAAAGGGGAAAATATACTCTTACCCTTAAGCAAAAATATAAGTAAAAATCAAAGGTTTCCCTTTACATTTAGACAACCATCTCTACCAACAAGCCAACACATCATATTAGTAATAACACACATCACAAATTTAACAACAATATAATAACATGTGTTACACTTAACAAAACAAAATTAAATAAATAACATAAATTTTATGTTCTAGAGAAGACTTGAACACATGACCACTTAACTCATCAAAGAGCTCTCACCAACTAAGTTACATAATACCTTGTGAAAACATACAATTTCCATCAAAACATACTTAAGTCTTATTACAATATTATTTCTAACTTCTACATTTTTCTCGAGTCTTACATCCACAACTAATGTTTGGGTCAAAGTGAAGAACTTGGTCATGAACCAAAGCCTTGTTTATACTTCTTATTGGCCAGGTGCCCACATTATATGAAGCCATGTGCAAAATAAAAGAGCTACATTTTTTTTCCTTCTTTAGTTAAGTTTTGAATTTTTAATTGTTTGATTTTGGTTGAGTTTTAGAAAATTGTTTTTTGTGATTGTTCTAATTATATTATTTATAATTATATTAGATTTTTCATTATATATATATATATATATATATATATATATATATATATATAAATAGAGATATATGAATGTTCCAAATTCATGAGGTTTTTCATATCAATATTTGATAATGAAGACCAAGAATAATTAGTGTAAAGAAACCTAACATATAATAAACACAATTATCTTTATTATACTAAACTAGTCGAGTGACTCATGCATACGCACAATATTTTTTTTATTTGTAATAATTGTTTTCATTTTTTTTATATAAAAACAATAAAGTAGTGAAATTATTATGTAATGATATATTATAAACATGAGGTTGTTTTCTTGTAATTGTTATTATTAAAGTAATTGTATTATATGCTCGTTCGACCAAATTTCATCAATCGAGTTTTTCTAGATTAAGCTTTTTTAGGTTGAGTTCTCTTAAGGATAACATTCTTTAAGACGAGCTTCCTAAAATTAAGCTCGGTTAGATCAAATTCCTTTTGGTCAAACTTCTTTAAGTCGAATTGTCTAAGCCGAACTCCTTTAACCGAAGTCTCAAAATCAAGCTATCAGACTAAGTTTTTCCAAACCAAACTCTTTTAGACGAGTTTTCTGAAGTCGAGCTTCCGTTAAGCCAAACTCCTTTAAACCAAACTTTCCTATTCCGAATTTAAAGTCTATAAATTTTTTCATATTGATTTCTCATAATATTTAAAGATAATGTGAAAAAAACATAATAAACATTGTTCTCTTTATTATAATAAATGCCTCTGTATATCTAAAACATAAAAAATATAATATATGTTTATATAAATTTTATTTTAATAGTGAAAAGTTTAATTAATATACCTCCAAATTAACTTCACTGCTTAATATAAACTCTATTTAATCCAATTTTGTACCATATTATATATATATATATATATATATATATATTAATATAATAATAATGATGTAACTATAATTTAATAAAATTTGTAAATACAAATGAAAATAATAATAATAATAATAAAAATATATTTATACCATTATATATAATATTTTTCTTTTTTTTTCATATTTCTTTTTATAATTTTGCCGTTCAAATAATAATTTTTTAAATTAAAATAATTATTTTATCAAAATTTATATATAAAACAATTAAAAAATATTTATAACAAAATTACGAAAATTAATATTTATTTTATAATTATAACCATAATAAGTTTATTAATTTTATAGTAAAGAAAGAGAATACGTGTTATTATTAATATAATTTTATATATTAATAAATTTAAAATATTTCCAAATATCAAAATTAGTTTTTCATCCCTACAAAAGCATTGCGCCTTTGTAGAGTATTCGAGAAAGGGGCAAAACGCTGTCACAAAAGTCATGGGATTGTTTGTGAAGTTGTGAGATGTTTGACTGTAGCAAAGTAAACCCAAAGCATCAGAAATGGCTGTGGCAAGAGGTATAATTAAGAGGATGAGTATTAGGGTTGGTGCTGTTCTGATACGTCCTCCAACAACACCATCTCATTCACACTTCTTCCACTGTTGTAACGATTCTCTCCCTCCATTCAAATCCCACCTTTCTTCCTTCTCCTCTACTTTTCTTAGATCCTTCTCTCACCATTTTCCAGGTTCTTTCTTTGTCTCTCTTCCTTCATCTTTTTACCGTAAAATAATCTTTATTGGCCTTTTAATGATGGGTTGGTTTCAGTGAAGTAGTTGATTTTGAAGCTTGGAAGAAATACTTTGATATGGTCTTTTGTGCTTTCTATTGCTTGCCTGGGGTTTAATGCTATTGATTTCAATAGATTTTTTTTTTCTTACGTGCTTATATATCTTATGTGGAATGGGAGTTACGTGCTTATTTTAAATATACGTGGTTTCCATAGTGATGTGTAAACAGATTGGGAATGTAAAATCAAAACCTGTATAGGGAAGGGCTTGGAGGGTTGAGAAACTTATTTTGGTAGAATATAAGATTGTAAGTTAATGGAGGCACCGCCTTGTGCCATTAATAATATGTTTGTTTGTTGCTGATAAAAAAACGTGGAATAGGAGTTCTTTTTATATGGCTTCTATTACGAGTCCTAGGTGGAATGATAAACATAATGTGACATTTAAGGCATGAGGGTCTCCGATATAATAGATTAGTTTTCTAAGTTAACCTTTGCTCTTGTGCTTAAGTCATTTGCATTTGTTGTCTCATTGACTGTTCGGTCAGTCATGGAAAGGGCTATCATTGGGCCACTTGGCTGTGGATCAATTTGCAATGTAGTGAAGATGTCAATGTAATGGAAAATGGCTACCGTCAGGCCAACATTGATTGGGTGAAGTCGTCGTGGATGTTTGATTTTAAAAATAGGTGACATTGTTAAGAGTCCTCCATTGAGAATCTTAATGTGATGCATTTTGAATGCTCTGGTTTAGAGTCCCCTGTCGACTTTGATTTAGAACATTTTTGACACAATTTCACAAATTCAAACAACTAGGAGTCAATGAAATTCCACCCAATTGGTGCATGATGGCGAGACTCCCACCTTGTAGCAGGTCATGTGTGTGATGAATAACATGAGACAATAGAATGAAGAAACAAAACAAAGGGTGGGGGCAGCTCAACAAGCACAAGATGTACTCTTCAAGGAAGCGGATGAGTCCTGGCTTTGTCTAGAAGAAGCTTTGAGGGCCCATGAACAACTTCAATGCAAAAATTAGGATTTGTGACAAGTTCTCAAAACCTAGATTTCACATTTGCAGGAGGTTGGGATCTGAAATGACTTAGAACCAATGACAATTTCAACCTTGTACCCAGGACATAATAAATGAACCAATCCCGCCCCACCACATGGTTTTGACGCAACAAGAAATCTAGAGGCATTTCGTGCTCAAATGCTGATATCATTGTGGTACGTATCGTGCCCAAATGTGTTCTATCGTTAGTATCGCATTTGAAATTGCATGAATTGCAATTCTAACAACTATCAAAGCCAAAATCATGGGTGAAACAAAATTCGAGTGTCACTTCAAAACTGGTGGGGTCACATGAGTTGGTTTGAAAAAACCTCAATCTGCTTCCTTTTATTGCATGAACTAAGCGGGAAGAGAAAAAACCCCAATCTGCCTCCTTTTTTTGCATTGTTGATTGCTTTTGTTTTGTTTCCCAAAATCTGATATCTTTATAAGGTGTATTATTTTTTTCCTCTAGTGCATCGATAGATTCCCCTATCAAAAGAGGCTATGTGAAGTTATAGTTCTCATTTTTAGGAGTCTTTTATAGCTATTATCTTGATAAATTCAAGTATGTGGAATTTGCAGAAGAGACAAGTGATGAAGGTGCTACCACTGACGGATGGGAAGAGGAAGATGAGACTGAACCTAAGGTACTGTGTATTCAACTCCTAGGGTTTCAATCTATGTTTTCAAAACTAAACTTGTCAAGAAACTGATTTAAGGTTCAATTGTTCAACTGTGCTCAAATCCCAATCAATGAAACTATTATAATAATTGAATATTACATAAAATAATATTAAAAAAAGTCATAATTTTAACATTTAAAGCACTTATAAAAAATAAAATAAAATGTGTTATCATCTTTAAATTAAAATTTGAACAACATTCATCAATATTTATTAATAATAATAAGTATATATATATAATTAAAAAGATGAACAATATTTACTTTTTAAGAAAAAAGTTAAAGTACCTTATTATTATTATTTTTTAATTGAACTAGTTTATTCCTTTTTTGACCTGATCTTCTTCTAATCAGTTGTGATTTCTTTGGTCTTTTGACCAATTCTGTCCAGTTTTCAGTCCAGAGGTTTCAATTAAAGATCTCCAGTTCAATTATAAAATGGATATAATTAAACCTTTTCGTAAATTTGGTGTTGCCTATTTGTGTAGATTGGTGATGGAGGTAATGGTGGTGGAGTTGCCTTGCAAAATGTCCCTTGGGGCCAGCGAACTCTCTCTATCGCTGAGGAGGTGCTTATGCAGTTCAGTGAGGACATCAAACTTTTTGCTTTCAAAACAACTCCTCGTGGATATGTTTATGTGAGATTGGACAAATTAACTGATGAGTAAGGCTTCAACATGTATCATATACAAAATCTAGATAACATGTTTTATTTAGGTTTTGTCTTTAGAATTTGAGTTATAGGTATGTCAACCCTGTGAAACTGTCAAAGACTATAAGTTCTATTTGGTATATGTAGACTATGATTAAGGTGGCTAGAAGATCACAATTAAGGCGTATTTCCAGTCATTTCCTCATATTAAGGGCTATGTGACTGCATCATGACAAAGCAGGTGATCCAACAGTAAATCTAGGATAAAATGTGATTTAGGATTTAATGAATGAATGGATTTCTTGGACCTCACAAAATTTCAGTCTTTGCAATCCAACCAATTGGATCTGCTCTCACCAATGCTGGCAGCTTTCCCATGGCCCAAATTTGTGCTCCCTCCATTTCCAGCTTGGACAACTTTGTTATGAACCAAGAATTGAAAAGAGAAAGAAAAGAAATATTTTTATTGAATAGAATGAAAAGAACAAGAAAGAGGAGAGCACTCTCTCCTCTAGACCTTCACAAAGGCCTAATGCTTAAATTACAAAATTGGCATCCTTCTCTCTCCTCTCCTTCTTCTCCTATTTATGTTTAACTAACACTGAAGTAACTAACTCATTGATATTCTGTTAGGATACAACCTCCTATTACGAAGGTCTATGAAGGAAGAAATAAGGGAGAAAGAAATACAGCTAATTGATTAAATTCAAGCAGCTGAGAAATCTGTTAGTGGTTGTATAGGTGTTGTGTGGGGAAGCTATGTATATATATATGTGTGTGTGTGTGTTTTTGGGTCGTGAGGGGACACAGAAATAGTACTATTAGTGGGAGATTCTTGGACCCTCGAAGTGTCAGTGATTTTATCTATCTGTAAACTTTTATATATTGCTAGTTCTATACAGGATTCTCATTTTTCCATCTTAGAGTTCCTTTCCTTTAGAGTTTTCTGATCCAATTTCTGTAGTATTCCAACTACGTTAACTAATTTCTTAGTCTGTCATTTGGTTTACGTGCAAGCATGTCAAACTACCTGTCTTGATTAGAATAGGATTATATGATATCGATCATGCTCTTCCATTGAGAAACACTTGTCTCTCTTTTTGATCTAGCAACTTCTATCTCCAAAACTATCAAATCTGTCCAATGTCTTTCAATTCAAATTTAGCTGCAAGGAACCTTTTTCAATCTTTTTATCTTGACTGTATTATTTGCAGTGAGGACCATATGTCAGTGACATATACTTGATGATTGTTGAAGAACATGGTACCTAGCTGACCTTGTTAGTAATACCCTAGACGCTTGAAAACGTTTTCAAATCTATCAGACCATGCTCTTGGTGACTGTTTGAAACCATATGGAGGTTTTTTGTGTTTGGCTAGTTCGTTTTTTTCATTCTTCTGGTATTGTCATAGACACTTCAATTTCTCCATCCAAGGATTCTTTCTTAATGTCAAACTGTTCATTTGACCAATTCAGATTGGCAGCTAAAGATAGGAGTACCTTAATTGTATTAACTTTTCCAACTTTTTTTTCAGATATGGGTGTCCAAGCATGGAAGAGCTTGAATGCTACAATAAAAAATACAAAGAAAGATTAGATGAAGTTGGAGCACTTGGAGAGATACCCGATGATTTGGCTTTAGAGGTATCAAGGAGCCATGTCCTATACTCTTGTTCCAGTGGGATTTTATTTCGTAAACGGCTGTTCCTTTGAAGTGTATTTGGTACTTAAAGCATAATTTTTTCTTTGAAGGTTTCATCCCCAGGTGCCGAGAGGCTACTGAAAGTGCCAGATGATGTTGGTAGATTCAAAGACATGCCTATGAGAGTCTGTTACACTGAAAATCTAGAGTCCAATTGCCCAGAAAGGGAGGGGGTTTTCTTGTTAGATTTTATAGAAAAAGACTCAGAGATGTGTGTGTGGAAGTTGGCAGACGTTAAAGAGAATAGAGACCCCCTTAGAAAAGGCACAACTTTAAATCGTAAACAGAAGGATTGGAGATTGAAACTTCCATTCAACTTGCATAGAATGGTTAGTCTGTACCTTGCATAATTATAAAGTATAAATTTGTTCTGACTCAAAAGCATGGAATTGTTTTCTCTCCCTCCTCCATTCCCTTTTTGTCTATCTATATTTTCCTTGCATATGGTATGCAGAAGTAGTTTGACAAAAGAAAAGTTCTTTTTAGTTTTAGTAGTGGGCTCGGTACCATGTGTAATATCGAGGAGTTTTATGTTTGCTGCTGAAGACTAGTGCAACCCACTTCCGTTATCTGGCTTTATTTAGATGTTCATTCCTTCATTATGATTATACTCTTTCACTTTGTTGTCCAAAAATGGCTTTTCATTTTAATTTTTAATTATATCATTCTGTTCTTAAAACATTTTCTTTTTTTTGCTTGGTTTGAAGTCTGGGACTGGGATCACGTGTAGTCTAAAACAACAGTGCATCCTTTTTCGCGTCAGTATTTTTCAAGCATTTCTAATAAAATTCATAATTGTGGCTTTCTATGCTTAGGCTTGACTAGAATTCATTTCTTCTTATCTCTTTATGTGGAAAGGCCCGCAACAACTTATATGAGTTAGGACTATCAGTTGGGTCAGTTATGATACTTAGCAGAAGGGGTTAGCTGGGACATGATAGTTAGTTGAATTGTGTTAAGTATACTGGCTTAGAAGAACTCTCACTCACCCCTTCTACCAAACATTATAACCGTCTCAACTAATTGCCTTCACTCCCAACATTATGGGCAGGAGACATTCCATGAGAAGAAACAAAAATTCTGCTTGATACTAACTTGTATTATTCTTAATGCATTCTATGATTACTCGCAACTTTTCATTTTCCTGTCTTTCTTTACCATTTTATGGCTATCTCTGTCGTCACTTAAAAAAATAAGTTAGTGAATTACGTCTTGATCATTGTAAAGTAATCAAACAATGCTTTTATTTCTTCTGCATGATGGAGTGCATATTATAATCGTGTCATGATACCATCACTCGCCATGGGGGAGTTTGTTGTTTGTGTTATTTCCCTTGGCTTAGTAGTGGTCCTTTGTTTTGGATAGTAATGAATAGATTATAAGTAATGGGGTGCAAGCTGCAGGACCACATTCCTAGTGCTTGCTGTCTTTTTCTTTTCACTCTCGTAATGTCATTATTTTGAATTCTTGAGTGTGGAACTATGTTTGTGACTCGTGTAATGAGTAAAACTTGAAGTGGACATTTGTAAAGAATGAAGCATATTTGAAGGTTTGGTTTAGATTTTCATTACATGAGTAATTTCAACTCTTAGAACGACAAGAAAGTCTCATCAACTAGATGAATTCCTTCATTCAGGAAAATTAAAAATCAAAGCTTTAGAAACACTTTCAGAAGATCCATATTAGACATTTGACATGATGTGCTTGTATAATTTCAATGTTTCAAATGAAACCCTTCATTTAAATTTGACTATTCAAACAAATCAATATCCAGATGATTATGGACTTCATGATAAAACTGAACATTGTTTGATTTCATATTACAACTATTCAAATTTGTATGGAGGCTGGGGAACCGGCTTATCACCTTGTTTATGGGAAGGCATAACATTGTTATAATGAATTGTAATGATTTAGGTATCATATTATCACAATCAGTCACTAGATGCATAAAGCCAATTATTTCATATTTCTTTCTCATTATTCATGTCTCTATATTTTATATAACTTTCTAACTATCTTTTGAAAAATAAACAATTAAAAGAACAACATTATCAAACTAGCACTAAATTTTTATGATACCACAAATGCATCAACATGTACATCCTTCAGGGTAAAAAACTTGTCAACAGTGAGGAAAAACAGGATATCTATAATTGGCCTGAGATGGAAGTTCATGCACCCCACAACATTGAAATGAGAGGACAACGTTAAAGTTGAGTGTAGTTTTTCATGATTGTGAAGGCAAAGTTGTATTATGACGTTTGTTCTCATGCCTAGTACTTGACTACTACTTGTTTTCTTTTTCTTAGATTTATAGCATGTCACATCAATGGTTGATTTATTTTCTGTTTGGTTTAAACTGACATCTTTATACCAATTATAGGGCAAGAAAAAAAAGGTGCATGTGATGGAAATGTGAGAGGGACAACCATTTATTAAGAACAATAGGGTTTGCATCAATGGGTTATATCAAAGGAATGTAGCCGTGAAAAATATTATATTACTCCATGGGAATCAATCATGCTAAAAATATATATAATTATATATCTTTTTGGTTAATATGTTTTATTTGTGTTGGTGTTATATGTTTTCTCTCGTACAATTCTATCTTTTAAACTATCAATTTTTTTAATCTTTACACTCTTTTTTTTCATGTAATAGAATAAAGTTCTAAAATTGAGAATTAATATTTAATTGAAAATATTAATTGGTGTAGACGTATTTTTTAAAAATTAAAAATAATATAAATCAAAATAAATTCTTTGAGTATATTTTGTCATCAGTCATATATTTAATTTTTAATGTTAATTAAACAATGTTACTTGCTTATTTCTCTTTTGATAACTTTAATTGCTGCAATTTCTTGTCAATAGGCTCAGATTTTGGAGTTGTCCTTTAACCTGTAGCCTCCTAAATGCCTTTATCCAATAAAATTATTTTTTCAATATAAATATTTTTACTTAATATCTTTAAACTTAATCAATTTTTATCTAATATCATTAAATAAATAAATAATAAATAAATAAATTAATATATATATATATATATATATATATATATATATATGGATTTTTAGGGTTTGTAATGTAAATATAGATTTAAAAACTTTTTCTTATATAAGTATAAATAAGACTAATATTTTGTTCATATTTTAATATATTTATCATTATTCTTTTATTTACTTGTAACAACTTTTATCTTTATCGCGTAGTCTTTTATGTATTTATTTTATTAAATATTCAACAACTTACAATTATAATAGCTTTGATTTTATATATCATTAAAAAATTAACAATTAATCTCAGTAATTTGAGATAGGAAAAGTGAGAGATGATGAATTGATATATATATATATATATATATATATATAAAGTGTAATTAAAGTTTATTAAAAAAATTCGTATTTTTATATATTAAAACTATTTAGATATATGTATAATTAGATATGTTATCTTATATATAATATTTATTAACTAAAAAAATTCTATATATTATAATAAGGTTATGATTAGAGGAAAAAAATTTCCGACAGAAGAATAGTTATTGAATTTTATTTTGAAAAATTAAATAAAAATAATGAATAGTTCTTTTAACATAATAACATTATTTTTTTATTATTTATTAAACAATATTATACGTTGGACTCAAACTTTACTTTAAAACGTGTTCGACATGTTAAAAAAATATAAGATAGTTGGATCAAAAAGAAAATATTCGTTCAATTTAAAGTTTGAAAACCAAAATATGACAAAGTTTGAGTCAGAAACAAATTCTAATTTTGCATACAAGTTTAGATATTAAAAATATATATACCGTGTTATGTATAAGGTATAATCTATACATGATTTTAAAATTTTCAAATAAATAACATAAAAAATATGATAAGAAGTTTTTAAATTCAAATTCAAAATCAAATTTGATCTAATACAAATATATTTATATATATATATATATATATATATATATATATATAAATATATAATAGTGGAAGACAAAAAGTAATAGAAAAGCTGATAGATAATGAAATCTCAAATGAAGAGAAATATAAGAAGAAAATGAGGTTGAATTTTAATATCTAATATATAATTTTAAAACATTCTTCAAAGAATATAATATTATTAAACCTTGAATCTAACTTTTTATATGAAAGATGTTCTCCCAAAAAACACATATATTTTGGCTGGATACTACGATTTAAACTCTATATTTAATTTTAAACACGTAAGATTAAGAAGGAGGACAAAAAAAATGTAATTTTAAATATGTATTTCAATTCAGCAAATATTTTTAAACATATCTAAGTATATATAATTTAAATATATATTTAAATTTTAAAAAAAATTAAATTGGTTACATTAATGTTTATAAATCAGAGTCAAATTGATATTAAAAAGAAACTAGAAAATCAACGTAACATTAAAAAAAACTGAGTAATTAAACGTCTTTTTAATTTTAATTTAACCATTCAAAAAAAATATTGATTTAATATAATGTTATTTTTTAAAATTATCTTATATTTAATATAATATACAATTTAGTATAATTTTAATTTTTTATTAATAAACCATATTATTTATATATATAATATTTTTTTATCGATTTTTCTATTAACAATAAGTGAAAAACTGAGAATTACATATCTATACAATTTTATTTTTTTGCATTTGTATACAACTAATATATTTTAATTTATCTATTAGAACATGATATTGATATATTTTTAATATCATCTTTTATTTTCAAACTTACCTTATCTTTCAAATCTTTTAAAATTGTCTTATCGCACAAATATTTTAATATTAAGAAAAAATTAGTATCTTTTTAAAATTATCTTATTTATTTAAACATGAATATTTAAATATTTTTATATTGATAAATTTTAATATTTTCTCAAAATTATTATACCATATTAAGCTTAAAAAGTATATTTTATTTTGATTTGTTATGATTACATTATTTAAAGATAATTAGGATATAATATTAAATCTTTTAGCTTTAAAAATCTTATATAATAAGCTATCTGGCTTACAAAAGTTTCACTATAATAAAAATTTCTTTCACTTCAATAAAAAGCTTTGCTTTCCATTTTTGTTCATACATTTCTTCTTGCATGGAGATGACGGATACAATTACTAGAAGCAATTATGAGGTATTTTATCGTTGATTTGATTTGGAATTGATTTTAGGATTAGTGTTTCTTTAAAAGTTGTTCTTATGCATTTTTGTATGTTAAATGAAATTTTTAGGGGAAACAAGATGAAAAGGATAAAGAAATCAAGGATCTTTTCCAAATAGGAAAAAAAAGGAAAAGAAATGAGAAAAACTCTGCTGAAATACCTTTATCAGTCATGAACGTCATGATTGAGTTTAAAGTTGCTGCTCAGGAAGATGCTGATCTTAATAGACAGGGAAAACCTGCCATTAATAAACTTAAGAAGTTATATTTTTCTACCGACGTCCTTTTAGAGTATGTGATAAATTAATCTTTAATTTTATTATGGATCCTTGAGCATGTAAAAGACTCCTCATTAAAAAAAAGTTTATAATTTTTATAAATACAGTGACTATGAAAATTATAAATGTAGGTTTGAGTTGTTCTATGATAAAGAAATTTAATTTTCCACATTAAACCATACTTTTTAATATATTTATTGAAGTGGGTAGAAATAATTCTAATAATTTTTCACC